CTTCTTGCCCCGGTAGGCGGCCACCACCTCTGCGTTGTACACCGGCAGCCACTTGTAGGGATTGACGGTGACGCAGAAGAGGCCCGAGTAGGTCTAGGATAGAGAAGGAGGGTTGAGTTGCTAGTGATGAAGAGGGAGGAATGGTGGGTTTCAGAGTTAGAGAACAATGCCAAGAGGGGAAGAAGAGAAAGAAAAATCTATGAAAGCACTAAATCTGAGTAATCCTAGCCTCGGGGGTATTAGAACTGAACCGGGGATGCAGGGGCAGGGATAGCGTGCAGTAATGCCTGGACACAAAGAACAGAAACTAGGAAGCTACTAGACTCAGAGGGTGTCCTGGATGGCGCACTCACATAGATCATCCAAGAGGCGTAGCGCTCCTTGAGGTTGTAGAGCACGGCGGGCTCATGCAGGAAGGTCAGCATGGCCATGTCCTCGATCTTGTCGAACTTGGGCGGGTTCTGTTGCATCACCTGGTCCTCCTTCACGGTCACCGTCTGCAACAGCCCCCATGCAGGCCAAACTGTCAGCCCTCCCTCTGCCCAGAAAGGAGTCAGGCAAGTTCTAGGAAAGCAGTGTTCAAGAGAGAAGGACCGGGATCATAGAGAAGACAGACGGGATATTGGGAATGAGAAGGGCTGTTTGGACGGTGTGGATCCCTTCTCCGAAGAAGGGAAATCGGACTGTCCTCAGGTCTGTGTGGGATGGGTCCTGGTGGTAACCTCTCTGTGTACCCCAGCTATGGGGGGAGGGGGTCCAGGAGGGCCTCTCACGCCAACCCTGCCACCTACCTTGCCATGCTCGGTCTCAGCGGTGACTTTGCCACCCTCTCGAGACAAAATTTTGGCCTTGACGAACTCCTCTTTGTCATCGGGCACATAAACATCTTTCTTGAGGTCAAAAGGTCGGGTCTGGGCTTCCAGCCGCTCCTTCTCTGACTTGCGCAGGAAGGGGGCGGCGGCCCCAAACGCGGCCATCTCCGCATCCACCATGGCTGTGCCTGCAGTGGGTGGGAGTAGAAGATGCTAGCTGCCCTCCCATCCACCCACCCTCCACTCCCTTCCCTGGGCTCTCTCTCCTTCAGTGGGAGCCCCAGAGCCTAGCACTGTCCTCGTGAGTCAGGGGCGGGTCACCATGCATCCCTTATTCCTTGAGCTGATCCTTCAACCTGAGAAGAGCCTAGCAAGCCTGTCAGGGCAGAAGGGGAGGCTAACTTTTGTTCAGCCTGGGGCTCTCCTCGAGGAGGGAGGAGCGTCCTGGGCTTCTCTGGGAGCAGAAAGCTAACTGCGTCCATCTCTAATCCTTATCCCTCCCTGGCTCTTCCATAGTCACAGGCAAGGGGCTCTTGGTTGCCAAGACACACTCCCCAAGGCAAGGCAGAAACTAGGGTCCCATAGCCTGGCTTTGGGGCTGTCATGGCCAATCTTCCCGGATTCCCCCACACTCCATCTTCAGCTTTCCTTACCTTGGCTTCTCGAATGTGTTTACTAGATGAAAGGGGCTCAAGCCTGCAGGGGACCTGGAAAGAGGGAAGGCTGTGTCAGGGTCACCTCCCCGCTGCTCCCTGGCTCTGCCCTTCGGCACTCACCCCTCACCCAGGCCTGAAAGCGGGCGGGGAGTGGTGGCCAGCTTCTCTGGTCCTGTCCTCTGTCTGGCTTTCCAAACACTGTAGCTCTTTCTCCTGAGCAATAATTCTAAAAGTTTCCTGATGTCTATTCCTCCTCCTCCCACCTGGGAGATGGTCCTACCCTTGCCTATACTCACCTAGTGAAACTTGCCTACTTGGAGCCACCTGAGAAACTGTTAATGGTCGCATTTGTTCCGTGCTTTACAGTCTCCAAAGCACGTTTATGCACACCCTCTTACTCAATCCTCACCCTGTTCTACAGATGAAGACATCAAGGTTAAGGGGTTTGCTTGTCCAAGAACACATAACAACAAGTGGCAGAGCCAGGCCTTGAACCCATGTCTCATGACTCCAAAGCCAGTTCTATTCCATCCTGCCCCCATTTGATTGTCAGTCTTGGTGGACACTCTCCGAGAGGAGACCCTTGTGGGCTCTCAGACGCACCCATCACACAGCCAAATGCCCTCCACATGTCCTCTGACGAACACGCATGTCCGCTGCTCATGCACATGCCTCGTACAGACACACTGCCTTCCTATACCTTGCCACACACATCCCTCCCAGTGTGCCATCATGCCTTGGCAACAGACACACACGTTAAGTATGTGTACAGTATAAATAAGCGCAGATCGCTGTATATTCCCAAGTATACAAAGACCTGGAACAGGGCCGCCTGGGTGGTGCAGTTGGTTAAGTGTCCCACTCTTGGTTTCAGCTCAGGTCATGATCTCGGGGTCGTGAGATTGAGCCCCGCGGGGGGCTCCGCGCTCGTTGCAGAGTCTGCTTGAGATTCCCTCTTCCTCTCCCTTGGCCCCTCCTGCTCAAGCTTGCTCTCTCTCTCAACTAAATAAATAAATCTTAAAAAAACAAAAGACCTGAAACAGCCACACCATGTGCCTGTGGGCTCCTTTTGCAGGGTGTACACACTCTGTAGCTGCCTCGACTCCTGGATGTGCACACAAGCACCTCTGCGTGTATGGATATGGGTAGTTACCCATGCCAGACCCCACACAACTAGCTTCTGAGCATATATACTTGCTAAGTCATTGTTCTCTGTCATCCTCTTCTCCCTCCCCTCAAATGGACCAGCTATCCTCAGGCATGATCATAAACACGTCTCTTGCTTGATATTTCTGTATCTTCATTAGGCAGTGAGGTACACACCCTCCCCTCACCATGCATTAAGACTGTGCATGCTTGTACACAAAACACACACACACACACACCTCTAATGCATAACGCATTCTGGTCCCATATGCTCCGATATAGACATTCACACACACCCCCCCAATACCTGAGCCCCCCTTCTCGCAGGGCACCCACACTCATGTTTAGACCTGCACTTGTGTGCTCAATGATCAGACCTCGTACTCTGCATGAAGCCCTGCATGCAGCTTGCTGTTCCTAGAGGAGCCCCTTCCTAAAGCTGGGGCCCCCTTATCCCAGAGGAAGGCCTCCTGCTCGGCGCTCCTACCTGAGAGCAGCAAGGAAAGACAGAGCACAGGGGAGAGCTGTGGAGCTCGACCTGGTCAGGGGCTGTATATATCAGGCAGCAGGCGCCCCCACCCCCACCTGCACCCAGTCCCTAGCCGGATTTAGAAAGGGCTGTTGTCACTAGAAGCATTTCCCCCCGGCTCCCCCCCTTTCCCCAAAGTGCTTCCCCCACCCCCCCCCAGCTAGGAAACAATTGGAAGTGGTCGTCATTGTTATGGCATGGAGTGTGCAGGGTCTGAGTTCCAGGGGGCGGGGATGGCTCAAAGTGCAGCCAAAATATCTCCCAGGCCAGGCTTCACATTCCATAGCTGGCAGGAGAGGGGACTGGTCAGACCACTGTGACCTCAGGCAGGCAGGGGCCTGGCCCTCCCCCAGGGCTCTCCTGGCCTCTGACACAGCTGCCCCTCTGACCCCTGCCCCCTGAGCTGGCCCAGCCCCATGCGCAGTGTCCTCTCTGCTTCCTGGCCTGGGTCCTACATCCAACTGTGAGATAGGAGGGGGTGAGTGTCAGCAGCAGAGGGGTAAGGCAGAGCTGGGGACATGGCTCCCTGGGTGGGGGCTAGACTGGGGCAGCTGGAAAGAGGTTTCCCAGCCAAGTGGCAAGAACAACCAGGGAGCTTAGAGATGGGGACTCTGGCTTGGGCACTGATTTCCTTGGACCTGCCAGGCAGTGTGTTGAGGTCACAGAACCTCAGAGCCAGGCAGGCTATTCGTTAGTCCTTCATTTTATGGAGAGGGGAAGTGCTTTCTGTAAGGTCATGCAGCTAGGCAGGGCAGCAAGATTCAAGGCGGTGGGGGGAGCTGAGCAGATGGGGGATAGAGGCCAGCGTGTGGAGGGAGGGCTGGAAGTCCAAGGAGGCAAAGACCCGCTGTGCTCAGAGGGCAGACTCAGCTGCCGCCTGATGGTCCTAGTGGAGGCCCCTGCCTGACTCATTTTCCTAGCTCAGCCTTCAGGTACTGAATGCTCTAGCCCAGAGCCAGACACTCTTGGAGGCATAGATATACAGCTGCTCGGACTTAGGAGACCCCTAATGAAGACAGCTGCTGCCTGGCCCACCGATCCTCTTGTGTTCTGTGAAGTGGTCTCTCTCCAGACCCGGGGAGACTAGTGTTCCGGCAAGTGGGGCAGAAGGACAGGAAAAATGTCCCCCTTTCCTGCAGGCCTTAGAAGCAGCCACAAAGGAGGTGAGGAAAGGGGGCTGGAGCTCAGCCCCCCGTGAGCACAGAATGTAGCTAATGCCACCCTCTTCTAGCTACCTCGTGTGCAAGCTTCACTGGCTCTGTGTCCAGGCAACCACTGCGTGGTTTGCTTTGAAATCCCCCTCCTTCCTGAGCACAGCTCTCCAGCGCATGCGGATTAATCCATCTGATTAGCTGTCAGTTTGGAAGGAGAGCGGCAGGCTGGGGGGGGCAGGGGACAGAACAGGTACATTTTGAAGGTGGGGTAGGCACAGCAGGGAAGGGCAAATCCAGGTGGGGGCCCAGTGGGGAGGGGCTGCTTGGTAACCCAAGCACAGTCTGGGGGCCTTGAAGAGCCGTGGGGTGGGGGGAAGGGTGCAGGCAAGTGGAGGGTCGATCCCCAACCACAGGGGCTGCTGCTAACAGGACTGGCAGGACAAACTCTGTGGGTCTGGACCAGGCCCTCTCAGCGGCTGAGGAACTAAGCCCACTGGTAGAGACCTCAGGGTTTGGTGACAAAGGGCAAAAACCTCTCTTTATCCTCCCCTTGCAGCTTCCCAAGCCCAAAGCCACCACCCCTGCCTGATTTCCCAGGGCTCGGGTGGTGCAGATGCAGGTGACTGAGATGCAGAGGATGCCAAGCCCTTTCACAGTCCATGTCTTCACCAAGGGCCAGCCTCCTTGGCCGTGGAGTTGGAAAACCTTGTCTACATTTAGGAGATCCATTGAACTTGGTTTCCTTCTTCTGGGTTTCGGGGGCACTGACCTATTGGTGTTACAGCATTATGCGCTCTAACACTCCACTGCAGGCTGGATCTTACCTCCCTGCTGCCAAGTTCTCTGCCTCATATCCCTAGGATCTGGAGACAGACTGGAGGGTCTGACATCCTTAAAGACCCCCACTCACTCCCCAGCCCTCCGGCACCTGCTCGTGGCTCTGTCAGGATTCTCTTCCTTCCACTAGCGACTGTCTGAAGACCAAGCAGCTTTGCTGATCCCTTCATTCCGCAAGTATTTATTGAGCTCCTACTAATGTGGCATTGTTCTAGTCAATAAGGATCTAAGAGTGACCAAAATAAAGACCCTTCCTCCTGACAGCTCTATGCAACTGTTTGTAGAAGTGGGATCTGGGCCTCAGCTTACGGCCAGGGTCTTTGCTGGCAGGCACATTCCTGGTGGGGAGAGTGAGGGGCCGGGGCCCCACCATGTGGGGGTGGGTGGGGATAGTGCGGCGTGTACTGCAGAGTGACAGCAGACAAGACAAAGGAGAGCAGAGCAAAATGCTATAAATAAAGAGGGACTGGGGGGAGGGCAACTTCACCAAGGTAGACCAAATAAGGTCTGGAGAGAAAGGAAGGTGATCTGTCTCCCCTGCCCTGCCCTGCCCTCCCCTCCCCGGCATGGTGCCTGCTTTGTCTGGGCTCTGTCACCACCCTGATCAAGTGTCAGGCCCAAACAGGGGCCATTTGCTGTGACATGCCAGCAGGAGTTCAGAGAAAAAGTTGCTAAAATTACTACCAGGAATGGGGAAGGAGGGGGTGCGCTAGGGCAAGTTAGAGTGGACCTCGGTATGGAAAGAGGGAATGCAGAAAGGAGCCCCAAACCCCAGAAAGGGGAGCAAAAGAGGGGGAGGAAAAGGCAGGGGGCTTGGCCCAGGGAAAGGAATGAGGCATGAGTTGTTTGAGCACATGGGAGAAGGGGCCCAGCCTGCGGTGGGGCTGAGTGCTCCTCTCTGCCCAGCCCTAGGATCCCTGACTTTGGGGGGACCCCTACCCTGGCTCCACACGAGCCTGGGATTAGGGCCTGGGCTTTGAGCCTGTCTCAGGTTTCCCTTTACAAACAGCTGTTGCTTCTTGTCATTCTTTTGTCTTCCTGCTCGCTCCAAAATCTTTTGTACCCCTCCACACCCTGCCCCCACTCTCCACTCCAGTCTCTGCTTTCTGATAGACAGTGGGCAGCTGGAAAGGAAAGAGGGGAGAGGGCTGGGCTGGGGCTGGCTCAGGTTAGGTTGGGGTCTTTGGGAAGGTGGGTCTGGCCTCTAGGGAGTGTTTGTAGGGGTACAATTCACTAAAAAGGAGGCTTGGGGGGCATAGCCAGTCTAGATCCAAGGCCAGAGGCCTCAGAGGGCTTGCAAGGAGCAGCCTGGTGAGCTTCCGTGTCAGTCACAAAGATCCAGTTTGAAGCCCATCCCCGCCATTTCCCAGCTGTGTGTTCAATGTCAGTCACAGAACCTCTCTGAGTCAGTTTTATCATCAGTCACATGGGGATCGTCACATTTCCATTCCAGGACTATTAAGTCCATCATGGTTTGCACAGGTAAAAGACCCAGCACAGCCCCAGACACATAGTGGGTCCTCATGAAATGGCAGCTTTTACTCTGAGGAACACAGACCTGACTGCGGGTGGTAGGACTGGTTACCTTGCCCGGGGGCTTTTTGCTTTTTTGCATCTTTTGCAGCCTCATTAAGGCCACTCAGTGCAAGGATCGTCCAGGCCAGGGTGGATCAGCGATCCAGCAATCCCGTGGCCTCTTCCATCCAGGTCGGGACTGCCCTTGGGAACACCATGACCAGGAGGCCAAGTGTTCAAACTGTCCTAGGCTCAGTCCAGGCCTGCAGTCTAGCCTTGAAGCCAGGAGAGGCAGCCGTCCCTGACTGTTGCCCATGGACTTGCCCTCACTGCAGGCCAATATGCGAGGCCCACCAGGAGTCACCCAGGCTCAGTGGTGGTATCAGCCAAGGATATCTGATGGGAACAGAGGCCCCCAGGGGGAGGCTGCTTGGCCATTCGAGACAACTGTCAGCCAGATTGGTTTGTGTGTGTCCTGGCTGAGGATCTTAGGGATCCTGGGTGGAACTGCCCGGTGGAGCTGGGCTGGCTCTAGGATCCGGGAGCTGGGTTGTGGAGGGGAGGCAGGTTAAATTGAGGCCCTCAGAGATGGGGCTGACCTGGGTTCCTTCAGCAGTCCTAATCACCACTGAGCTGGAGCCAGACTTAAGATACCGGGGAGCTAGAAACTTCTGGAAGGAGAATGGCCAGGGTATTGTGATGTGAAATAATTGGGTAAACTGAGAAACAGCATCCTGGAGTTGCCTGCTGGATACTTTGGTGTCTAGAGCTGGAGCCCTACACTGCTGTCTCTCTGCTGGGCCCCAGCTGGGGACCCAGCATAAGCCCTGCTCCTCCACCCAAAGTCCTCTGCTCTGCTCATGGGCATCTGTGGGGCAGTAGCCGCCAGGCCTGGATCAGCCCAAGGTATGGACAGCCTATGCGATTTACAAGGAGCAGGTGGTAATTGCTCAGTGAGGAGCCAACAGGCTGATAATCTCCTGCCCACTTCCCCAAGGGGAGAAGGGATCCTCTACTTCATTCTTTCTGTCAGAGACCTCACTTCCTTAAGCAGGCCTCTCTGGCCCATCACCTACCTCTCCACCTCTCCCCCCAACTATAAATGCAGGTGAATGCACACAGCACGCACACCTACACATGTGTTCACATACATGCGTGTGTAGGTGCACATCTCCTCACATGCCTAAGACACAGAGTCTGAGCTGCTGTCTACAGCCAGTCTGAAGACAGGGCACTGGTGTTCGTGAACTTGCCAGGAGTGCCTCCCTCCCAGCTTCCAGCCTAACTCATCCTTCTTTCCCCCCAGCTGGGTCCCAGTCAGTCACTTAATCAGATGCCTTGCTGCATGCCCAGTTCTGTGGTGACTACAGAAGGATACGTGGCGTCTGACCCACAGGCATTGCCATCAGCTCGGGAAACCACAGGTAACATACTGGAAATCAAGGGAGAATGGTTCAGGGCTACACGGTGTGGCCCAGATCCAGAACAACTTAAGGGCAGAGAAGCTCTTGTTCAGTGTGGGTTGG